TGTCTCTCTCTCTAGTTTTTTTCTGGTGACTGTGAATCATTGTGCTTCCGAATTCCAGATTGCACGCCGTATAACAGTTAAAATCACACCGACTTGCTGCCTCAGCGAGAAATGGCGAATAATCAATCTGTTAGACGACATCTGGATGCTTTTACCCGAGGCCGAATCATTGGGAAGTTGGAGGAAGGCCACAGTGTGACAAGTGTGACTGCAGAGTTCGGAATTGCTCACAGCATCGTTTCACGACTTTGGAGACAATTTCAAACTACAGGAACAGATATCCGGAGTAGTGGTCGTCCACGAGGAACCACACCCGCAGATGACCGGTATATTGCCTTACAGGCCAGAAGAAACAGGCGGCAGACAGCGGGAGAAATCGCTAGACACAGGCGACTGGACGACCGATATCGCGTTTTACCGTGGCCAGAAGACTGCACGGTGGTGGTCTGTTTGCACGACGCCCTGTACGGTGTGTACCTCTAACGCCTGCCCATCGAAGAAGACGTTCTCTGTGGTGCCGGGAACACCGGAATTGGAGAGACAATGAATGAGAGCAGATTCAGTCTGAGTAGCGATTCTCATCGCATACTCATCTGGAGAGAGCGGGGAATCCGCAATCATCCCTCGAACATCATTGAAAGGGACAGGTATGGAGGTGGCGGTGTTCTCGTTTGGGTAGGCATCATGCTTGGTAGTCGTACAGACCTTCACATCTTCGACGCAAGTTCAGTCAACGGGACCCGTTATTGTAACGAGATTCTTCTTCCATATGTGCGTCTTTTTAGAGGCGCTATGGGTCCGCAGTTCCTTTTCATGGACGACAATGCACCATGTCATCGCACAGTAGCTGCCGAACAGCTCTTAGAGAGTGAGGATATTGAACGTATGGATTGGCCGGCACGATCTCCGGATCTCAATCCCATCGAGCATGTATGGGATGTTCGAGGCAGACGCTTGGCAGCTCTTACCTTACCACCAGTAACGATTCCGGAGCTTCGATTGGTGCTGCAAGACGAATGGGCAGCAATGCCTCAACAACAACTCATTGACACCTTCATTCTCAGCATCGGCAGACGCTGTGAAACCTGCCTAGCAGTCAGGGGAGATCATATTCCCTATTAAAGACCGGGGTTTCTTGTGGACACCCATCACAGGGATGTTTCGGCCTTCAGTCGCATTGCGCTCCATGCTACTTTTTCAATAAAGCTTCTTTTTACCCCTCTGATTTCTCTTTTAGTAAGTGTTGCTTACATTACTCATGTCCTTACGTATTGGGGATCTTACGGTATCAAATGTGTTGATTTGGAAAGCTTTTGTACAAAGTTATATTGAAAAAAACCGTCTCGTCCTTAATTTTGCACACCAGTGTAAACTCACTTTTAACACGTAGGGGGTAATCATACTTTTCTCTCCTAAATTGAGAATCGAACTTTCCTGGCACGCGTCCAACAAAATCGCCACTCTTTTTTCGCGAAATAGATTATTCCCGGCATGCTTCCAACAAAAGCCTGTCCGTGAACTGTAAAAAAGAGCTACAACACCGTTTTTTGGAATCGGAGGGAATTCGCTCGGTAAAGTGAAACGTTTCTTTGACTCAGCTTCCGGGCGGATCGAATTCTATTCTAGACAAGTTCATAAGATTACAAAATTTTCAAATTAAAGATAGAATTTTATGAAAGTGTTTATAGCAGAGGGTAGAAGAATTTTGTGTAGTTCTTGTAGATCAAAAAATTCATTTAACGAAATATTAATTATGCTAAGTGAAGTGTAAAACTTTCTGTAATTGCTGTTAGGAACATTTTTTATAAAGGCTGATAGAACTCTAGTAGAGGAACAGGAGAGTTCTGGCTCGGGAGCTTTAGGGAGCCGGAGTTGAGGGAGCTTCCGAGAAGGAAGCCTCAGCCGCGGAAGGGACGCTTATCTGAAAATGGGGACAGGGAGCCTTATCAGAAAGTAGATGGGAGATAAGGGTAGTTGCTACGTCACAGAAAAAGGACGTGTGCTTAGATTATTTTCTTTTTTAATTTGGTGATTTAGGCATTTAGTAGTTATATGATAATGTGTACTTATTTATATTGAATTCTTAAAAACGTATATCAAGTAGGTGTTTTGAGTGACTGATACAGTTATTTTCTAGAAACAGATATAAAATGAAACGTTTCCTTCACAGTCTTCCGAAGATAATTATTTTCTTACTTGTATTTATCCTATGACTGAATATCTGCAAAACTGCTACATGTCATCACAATTTAATAAGAGACTATATTTTACTGATTTATCGGAGATGATTTCCCTTCGTTAATAAATTTTTAGCCTTTGTGTTTTTTCTTCGTATTCCAACTGTTTTACTACGTATATGATGATTATCTCCTAGTTACCCTGAACGAGGATTATTTTCGAATTTAATGATTGAGTGATCCTATACACTCAGAATTTTACCTTATGTCTTAAATCTTCTGTTCATAATATCACATATACTTTCCGTAATCTTCATTACATTACTCATTTTTATTCTTAAATTCATTTTACCCAGAGTTTTTTCAGACTTGTTAGGCAATACTTTTAACTTATTCGTTATATTTTATGAGTGTAATTACTAAAACACGCATTTTCGTGTATTATATTATTCAATGTTAGATGTAATTTTTAACTTTTTTCGTTCTTTCCAACGTTTGCGATCTTCAACATATTCTGTATTTTAACTTATTTCATACATTTTCTAATCATATAGATGACTTGTATTTAATTTTAGATGTAACATTTCTAGCTTGTTTTGTACATTTTAACCTTCACACTATTTAATATACTGAAATTTTTAACCAGTTTATATTTTCACACTATATGCATGACTTTTGCTTGATTTCTCTCATACATTTTAATCTCCATGATTTCCACAACTCCTCCTAATTTTAACATAATTCCTGCATTTTCATATCATATACCTGACGTTTATTTAATTTATGTGTAAATTTTAACTTATTTTCTATTTTTTACGTTTTTAGTTTCCAACATACTCTGAGTTTTAACTAATTTGCTATATTTTCACACTACGTACATGAGTTTTACTTCATTTCTCTCATACATTTTAACCTTCATAATTTCCTAATTTTAACATAATTGCTATATTTTCACATGATATACCTGACTTATTTAATTCTAGATGTAAATTTTAACTTCTTTTCTATATTTTAACGTGTTTAGTTTCCAACATACTCTGAATTTCAACTAATTTGTTATATTTTCACATGACTTTCATTTAATTTGTAACGACTTTCATACGTTTCAACCTTCCTAATTTCAAACAGGCTCTTAATTTTAACTTAATTCCTCTATTTTCTGACCATATATATGAGCTTTATTTCATTTTAGATGTAATTTTGAACTTGTTTCGTACATTCTGAACCTTCGTAATTTTGAATTTTAAACTTCTATTTTTAAAACATTTTACTTTAATTTTAAACTTGCTTATTACATTTTTCTACTATACCTGACTTATTTAATTCTAGATGTAAAATTTAACTCCTTTTCTGTTTATTTTATGTTTTTAGTTTCCAACATACTAAGAATTTTAACTAATTTCTTATATTTTCACATGACTTTCATACGTTTTAACACTTCTAATTTCAAACAGGCTCTTAATTTTAGCTTAATTCCTCTATTTTCTTGCCATGTATATGAGCTTTATTCAATTTTAGATATTATTTTTAACATGTTTCGTACATTTTATACCTTCGTAATTTTTAAAGTACTCTAATTTTGACTTGTTTATTACATTTTCCTACCATACGTATGAACTTTAGTTAATTTCAGATGTAATTTTCATACTTTTCTGGCACTGGGTTTCTTTCTAGTTTCCAACATACTCTAAAGTTTAACTCTGTTTTATAATTTTTGATTGTAATTGCGCTTGTGATTTTACTATTTCAGCTAAATTAACACGCTTAAATTTTTTAAACATAGAGATAGATTTCAATTAAGCATTTTATTTTACAACCTTTAACTGTTATTCATATCCAATTCGTTGAATAGCCCTTACTTAGTCCATACTTTATAGTACTATTTTAATTTGCCAATTCTATAATTTATCATTCTGTAGTACTCTTACCATGACTTATCCTACTACTTTACTTCATTATTAACTTCATTCGCATTTTCAAACTTTAACATTTCCTGCGTATTCCGGCATTTCCTTTTAATTCTTAATACCCTTTATATCTGAATATATGTTTTTAAGCTCTTCAGTGTGTTACCAATGTTCAGTTTTGAATCTTGATTATCATTAAGCTAGTTTGATAGATTCCGAATTTTTAGAATGAAATCTCAACTTTCATCCATAATTTTAGACCCATATTCATTCTTTCATGTACTCGTACAAAATTCTTTCTTATTATTTTGAACGCTCAGTACCTCTTAATTCAGTAATTTGTACTAATTGAATGCATTCTACATCACTTTAAATGTTTCGACTATGCAAATTTTCATTTTATTACCTTTTCCTACACTAAGTATGGATATTTCTGCCTTCATGAATGATTTTCATGTGAAATTGACAATATATTTTAGGTTACATATCCAAAAGAAAGTCCTAATACATTATCCAGTTTTGAATAAGAAATGAAAGGACAATCGATTTTACCCATTGGCTACAATTTCATCTTCTTGAAAGTTTGTTTTATTGCTATACATTTATTTCTAACACATAGTGTTAACACATTTTTTTTTTTTTTTTTTTTTTAACTTAGTCCAGTTCCAACTTAATTTCCCTAGACAATATCATATATAGTCTGTTTTTTTAATTTCTTAGGCTAAAATGTTCTTTTCGCAAATGTCAGTAGTGGGGTAGTTTTACTATCTTCAACCGGTAAACAAGCGATTAAGGAAATGAGGCCTTGTTAAACAAGGATATGTACATATCCTAGTAGTGGTAGTTTAAAAGGCGTCACTTTCCTAATCACTTGTTTACCGGTTGAAGATAATAAAACTACCCCTTCTTATTTTAGATGATTCACTTTCATAAGGTTGGATACATTGGCCATTGTCTTGGGAAGCGTGATGCTACATTTCTAAAAACCGTGAAATGTGCTTAATATATGAAATATGCATAGAATTATATAAAATTTGAAAAGTTTCAAGTATTCTTTAAGTAGGTCCTTGAGTATTGTAGTCTCTGTTCTGTATGTAATATAGATTATTCAGCTTTTCTTATAGTTTGTATTGTGTAACTGTAGTATTATGTGAAATTTATGGATGCTGTGCTTCGAATATGGAACTTAAAATAGTTTTGTGCAGTATAAAATGTCATTAATTCGTTGTAATAGTTTGCGTATGAAAAATATAAACTTCTATTTTCGGGAAAAATACCAGAAATGGTTGGTCTTCAAGTTCGACTGAATTGATATAACTTCGGATATAACTTTACATGAGAATATCTAAAATGTTCAATGGGAATTCAAATTTTGAAAATAGTTTTCTATTTTTGATACTGTTTCATTGCACTAAGTCTTCTAGCTCTTATGAAATATTATTGTTATTCACAGATCTTCATGAAAGATGAAAAATATTTGATTTTTTCCTTGAAATTTTTAGTGTCATTCAGTAAGCACCTGCAACTCGTATGGAACTCTCTAATTAATGTGAAATGATATACGAGTATATTCTTTGAAAAAGATTGGGCTATGTTATTAGAATCTACGAAATAGTGAAATGTTTGGTATGAAACGATAAAAATTTTGCATGAAGTTCGGTATATGTTCACTCTCATTATTGAGATCTCTTCCTAAATTCTGAAATAGTGATGTTTTCACTCTTATTATATTCAAAATTTAGTAGTTCTTGAATTAAATAACTGTATAGATGTACTAAACCTTATGGAAAATTCAAATATTTTATGAATTGATTGGTTTTACTTAAATGGTTTAGAAGTAAATGAGCGGTATGTTAGGCAGTTTCTTTCAGAAATATATCCGTATTTGGAAACTCTGTAGATAATTTGCCTTATTGAAATTGTTCTAAATTTTTAAAAACTATATGGATGATATGTTATCATCTAGAGTGTCTTTTCTCTTTGCAAATATTATATAGAGTTATAATAGGAATTGAATCTTCTTTCTATAGCAGAATTTATTAGTATTTCTAGAAGAGGATTTAGAAAAAAAAATATTCATGTTTTTGTAAAAAAATAATGTAGTATCTGGTTGTCGTTATGGTAGAAAGTGTTATTCAAAAGTTTCAGAGTGGTAAAGTATGATTGTGAAATGACGTTTTCTGAAAATAATCAATGTATTTCTCAATATTAGAAATTAAAATAGTCAAAACTAGAAGTCTTTTACACAATGTGAGCATGAAAGCCATTGAAAAATCTGTTGCAGTCGTATAAAATTTAACTCGAAGATGAAAATTGTTGCTTGCATGATTAAACAATATCAAAATTTGGTTTGAAACTAAATCACTGAGTGCTACATATAGATGTGATCGTGATTGTTTCAAGTTCTTTGAGTAGAAGATATGCTGTTCTTTGAGTAGAAGATATGCTGTTCTTTGAGTAGAAGATATGCTGTTCTTTGAGTAGAAGATATGCTGTTTTTTAAGTAAAACTATTTTCCTTTTCCGATGAAAGTAAGTCTAAAGCTAAATCTTTGGAAAAGTGATATATTTTCAGATTTTTATCTGTTAGAAGAAATGCGCATGCCTACATAAAAATAAAATAGGAGTATGACTGAATTTTCTCGTTACTACAAAAGGGTAGATTTAGAAAATAAAGGAAAATTTCTAAAAACGTTGGTTCATTACCTTACTCTTACTTCTTAAAAGTTGATACGTTATAAGAAAAGTCTTTTTAATCGTATACAGCTTATAGGAAATGATTTGTTACTCAGGTTTTATATTAATGCATTACAATATTTTACATTTCGTTTAAAGTATTGGTAAGATTTTACTGTTCCTAATGAGTAGGATTTTCTTAATGTGTATGTGGATATTTAATTGCATTTTCCTCAACAACGTTTGGGAGTAATTTAATAATATGTCGCATAAATATGCTTTTCTTTTAAAAATTCTAATTGAAAGTTAATTAAAATTATTGTAGTATTAAATGTATGTAAAAGGCTAATTGTACTACAGAATGATTCATGATTTTTTTTTTTTTTTTTTTTTTTTTGTGTGTGTGTGTATACTGACAAGGGTAAATAAAGTGAACTTCAGGTTTTTCTCACTGATAGTAAATCTGGAGCCGATACAAATCTGTTATAGACTTAGTTATGACCTTAGGTAAATATAGGTAAATATATTGCTTTCTATCAACACATTTTCTAAACATTTGTTGCGAATTCTGGATAATTAAATTCGGTAAAGGTTATATCCTCATTTAGGTAAAACCTTAAATATTCTACAGTAAAAAATGCTATTTCATATTTAGTTCTTAATATTAAGAAAATAGTTCTAAGATAGTTATTCTCTAGTGTGGTAATACTACAGGAAAAGTTAAATGATTTATATGGTGTTTGGAGTTTTTCTCTCAGAAAGAGGTAATATTTAGCAAATTACAGTTCTCAAAAATGGATAGAAAGTTCCTATAATGCAAACATATATGTACAATTATAAGAAAACATAACACTTATTTGGGTGTAATTTTGAATTGAAAAGGGCGTTATTCCTCATCAAATGTGTATTAGTAAGGCATGTTTAACTGCTATGATACGTATTGTACGAAGAAAGTTCTGTATTTGTGATGAAGAAGGTTAAAATATTCGAAATTATAGTGGAGATTTGGGTAAAATGTCTCTTACTCTTTCTCTCTTTGGTTCCTTCTGTAAATATAGGTCTATTGGTAATGATATATGTTGTGTAAAGGTATGGTAGTGTTTTACAAGATTTCATTCATAAGAAAATAAATTGGTAAATAAATTAATGCAAACTGACATTTGCGAAAAGAACATTTTAGTCTAAGAAATTAAAAAAACAGACTATATATGATATTGTCTAGGGAAATTAAGTTGGAACTGGACTAAGTTACAAAAAAAAAAAAAAAAAAAAAAAAAAAAAAAAAATGTGTTAACACTATGTGTTAGAAATAAATGTATACCAATAAAACAAACTTTCAAGAGATGAAATTGTAGCCAATGGGTAAAATCGATTGTCATTCCTTCATTTCTTATTCAAAACTGGAAATATGTATTAGGACTTTCTTTGGAGTGTATGTAACCTAAATAATCGTCAATTTCACATGAAAATCATTCATGAAGGCAGAAATATCCATACTTAGTGTAGGAAAAGGTAATAAAATGAAAATTTGCATAGTCGAAACATTTAAAGTGATGTAGAATGCATTCAATTAGTACAAATTACTGAATTAAGAGGTACTGAGCGTTCAAAATAATAAGAAAGAATTTTGTACGAGTACATGAAAGAATGAATATGGGTCTAAAATTATGGATGAAAGTTGAGATTTCATTCTAAAAATTCGGAATCTATCAAACTAGCTTAATGATAATCAAGATTCAAAACTGAACATTGGTAACACTGAAGAGCTTAAAAACATATATTCAGATATAAAGGGTATTAAGAATTAAAAGGAAATGCCGGAATACGCAGGAAATGTTAAAGTTTGAAAATGCGAATGAAGTTAATAATGAAGTAAAGTAGTAGGATAAGTCATGGTAAGAGTACTACAGAATGATAAATTGTAGAATTGGCAAATTAAAATAGTACTATAAAAGTATGGACTAAGTAAGGGCTATTCAACGAATTGGATATGAATAACAGTTAAAGGTTGTAAAAATAAAATGCTTAATTGAAATCTATCTCTATGTTTAAAAAATTTAAGCGTGTTAATTTAGCTGAAATAGTAAAATCACAAGCGCAATTACAATCAAAAATTATAAAACAGAGTTAAACTTTAGAGTATGTTGGAAACTAGAAAGAAAACCCAGTGCCAGAAAAGTATGAAAATTACATCTGAAATTAACTAAAGTTCATACGTATGGTAGGAAAATGTAATAAACAAGTTCAAAATTAGAGTACTTTTAAAAATTACGAAGGTATAAAATGTACGAAACATGTTAAAAATAATATCTAAAATTGAATAAAGCTCATATACATGGCAAGAAAATAGAGGAATTAAGCTAAAATTAAGAGCCTGTTTGAAATTAGAAGTGTTAAAACGTATGAAAGTCATGTGAAAATATAAGAAATTAGTTAAAATTCTTAGTATGTTGGAAACTAAAAACAATAAAAAAAACAGAAAAGGAGTTAAATTTTACATCTAGAATTAAATAAGTCAGGTATATAGTAGAAAAATGTAATAAGCAAGTTTAAAATTAAAGTAAAATGTTTAAAATAGAAGTTTAAAATTCAAAATTACGAAGGTTCAGAATGTACGAAACAAGTTCAAAATTACATCTAAAATGAAATAAAGCTCATATATATGGTCAGAAAATAGAGGAATTAAGTTAAAATTAAGAGCCTGTTTGAAATTAGGAAGGTTGAAACGTATGAAAGTCGTTACAAATTAAATGAAAGTCATGTGAAAATATAACAAATTAGTTGAAATTCAGAGTATGTTGGAAACTAAACACGTTAAAATATAGAAAAGAAGTTAAAATTTACATCTAGAATTAAATAAAAGTCATGTATATCATGTGAAAATATAGCAATTATGTTAAAATTAGGACTATATTAGAAATTATGAAGGTTAAAATGTATGAGAGAAATGAAGTAAAAGTCATGTACGTAGTGTGAAAATATAGCAAATTAGTTTAAAACTCAGAGTATGTTGGAAACTAAAAACGTTAAAAAATAGAAAATAAGTTAAAATTTACACGGAAAATTAAATAAACGTCAGGTATATGATATGAAAATGCAGGAATTATGTTAAAATTAGGAGGAGTTGTGGGAAATCATGGAGATTAAAATGTATGAGAGAAATCAAGCAAAAGTCATGCATATAGTGTGAAAATATAAACTGGTTAAAAAAATTCAGTATATTAAATAGTGTGAAGGTTAAAATGTACAAAACAAGCTAGAAATGTTACATCTAAAATTAAATACAAGTCATCTATATGATTAGAAAATGTATGAAATAAGTTAAAATACAGAATATGTTGAAGATCGCAAACGTTGGAAAAGAACGAAAAAAGTTAAAAATTA